CCGGATCCCTCATTGCTGGCATTTGCAAAAGAGGACACCCTTCGTGCCCTCAAGGGGATGTTCATAAATGACTCTGTCCAGGGATGCTTCCACCAGACGGCCCTCTGACGCCCCATGGTGTCCTCTGGAAGGCAGAGCCGCTGATCCACCTGACTAGGTGCGGCCTGGTGCTGGGCACTCGGCTCGGCCAGGCTCCGCTCTCCCCAATCTGATCCCCACACAAGAGCCACAAAGGAGAAGCAAACACAGGCTCCGGGGCTGTCCCCTCCCAGGCCACATTCCAGTCAGGGGCTGGCATGGCCCCTGAGAGCTCCTCAAAGTGGAGGCTTTCTGTGCCCATCACCGTTTCCAGAAGCTTCTGCTTCAGCAGTGTGTGTGAGTGGGGGCCATGGCAGAGAGCAGGACAGAGAGCAGGGGGGTGGGACACAGTGGCTGCGGAGGAGAACCCGGGGCAGGAAGCAGGGGAGCTGACCTGGCCTGGCCACCTGGCCAGGCACTCTGGGCACTGAGGTCACCAGGAGAAGCACAGAGGGCAGACTGGCAGGTGGGCGGCTGACGGGAGACTCAGTGATGTCATGTTTTCCACCAAATGACTCAGTGGCTCGCCCTGGGCGATGAATGGCGAGCTGTGTGCAGTGCCTCCAGGATGACCTGGCATCGTCCCCCCTCCCCGGTCACCTCCTGTCCTCCCCGCCCCAGGGACCCCAGGCTACATCCCGGTAGTTCCTGACTCATTTCCAGGCTGCTTCTGCCACGTCTCTCCAATCTCTACTTTGAGGGGGGACCGAATGCCAGGAAGACGTGGGTGTCACGGCTGCCTCTGTGTCCCTCTGGCTGAGCTGCCTTGAGCAGGTTACCTTGCCTCTCTGGGTTTCGGTTTCCTTATATGCAACAGGGAGACACTGCTAACGACCTGGCTGGCTTTTATGGGGCTTAGTAAGAATGTCTACAAAGCACTTCGAAATGGTCAATGTGACTTTCGGGGGCCTCTGTGATCTGACCTCGGTTTACTTTTCTACTTGAACTTAAAAATCTATACTATCTTCAATCCCCAGCATAAAAATCACACACACACACGCGCACACACACACACACATGCACACTCACACACTCACACACATGCACACACACTCACACGCACGCACACACACACACACACACACACACACACACCCCAAAGGTCGTGTAGAATCGTTGGTGTTTCTTAATGCTGTGTATCAGGCACTGCTCCGAGCACTTGTATAGAAACACATTTTCCACTCATGTCACCGCGCCCGGCTGAATTTTCTTATCTTTGTCTCTCTGGCCAATTTCCCTTTAAGAAGCCTTCCTCAGTCTTTCCTCACAGCCACAGGTCCACCCAGGTCTGTCATCACAGCTGGACTCCAGGTGTCCCAGGGTGCAGTCTCCTTGGCTTTCTGCAGGGGAGTAGCTCTCGCCCCAGCCTGCCTTGCAAGGTATCGGGCGGGACCAGGCATGTAGCACGTGGGCAGGGAATAGCAAGCCCCCAGGCCATGGTGGAGGGGCCACTGCTTCTGTGAGGATGAACGGAGGGCTGGAGCTGGAACCTCAGGGACACAGCCTGCCAGGTGGCCTCCTTCTCTCTGCTCAGGAGAACTCGCGCGGCCACAGGACCTGCATTGCCTGACTTTCAGGGCTGGACCCTGGAGCAGCTAGACTCATGTTTGGGGCCAGGACTGGGAAGCTCATGCTGGTAGGTCCAGCCCACATAATCCAAGGTGTCCATGGGTGGCAGGGACAGGACAGAGGGACCCATTCCTAGATCCCAGCCCAGTGCCCACAGGGTAATGAATGACCTTGTGAGACCGTGTGCCTGGGGTCCCTCTTTCCTGCTCCAGGTGCACATCAGCTGCTCCTCCCATTCACCAACCACCCTCCCATGCCCTGACAAGTGTCCTGAACGGGACGTCCCACCCCACAGCCAGCAGCTCCTCGAGGTTCCCACCCCACCTGCAGCCCACCCCTCACCCTCGCGCACGCTTGCCGCACACCTGTGGCTGTGCTGACTGAGCACAGGGGACACAAAAGTGAACACAGCTCGTTACGGGGCAGAGACCACAGACCACGGAGCGGGCCACCGCCAGGCAGCAGGTGACACCGTGAGGGGGATCGCAGGCAGCCACAAGGAGAGCCTCACTCTGGCTTCCAGGGGGAGGAGACGTCCAGGCCACAGGCAAAACAGGAGGGGCCTCCTGGACAGCTAGAGAGGCCACGAGAGCAGGCTGTGTGACCTTGGGAAACGGGGACGGTTGGGAATTTGTGTCCCAGTGAGGGCTGGTAAAAGAAGAGGCCAGGGAAGAAACATCTGCTGATAGGTGACAGGGCTCACGGAAGCCATTTGTCACCCCAAGCGGATACGTGCTCACTCCAGGGTGGGACTCCTGTCTTGCTGGAAGGCCTCATGGGGGACAGAGGCTCCAATCGGCAAGTCCCCCTTGCTCGCTGAAATCACGGGAGCAGACGCTGGGCCTTGCAAAGAAACGCCTCGCCCAGGGCTGCAGGGTGCTGGGCCCCGACCTGGGGGAGGTCGCGGCTTCCACCTCACCTGCACTGTCCACAGCGGGCTGGGAGATGCCTCCCACCGGGCTTCCCTGCCCGGACCCCCAGCATGCCCTGGCCATAGGCGGGAGGTGGGTCCCTTTGGGCCATTTCTTGTCGGCAGCGCAGCCACAGCAGGACAGACGCAGGTGACGCTGTGGGAGGGCAGGGGCCCAGGCGCCAGCCTCTGAGCTCAGGCCTGGGCTCACTGTGGAGGCTGTGGATGTGGGCAGCTCCCCAGCCCGTCTGGCTGTTCTCCTCTCTGTGACCTCAGGAGCTTCCTGGGAAAGCTCAGGAGGGGACGCCCAGCAGGTGCTCAGGGCGGCCAGCTGTTGCTGTCACTATTTCCTAGGTGCCCTCCCCCAGACACCTGCGCCAGGTGCAGAGCGAAGGAGAACCACAGCATCTCTCAGACTGGATCCAGGAAGGGTCCCTGCTTGGTGGCTGCCTCTGTTGCTCATTCTCTGTGGAGGATGCTCTGGGTTCCAAGCTCAGGGCCTCTGCAGACATGCACCTGTCTTTGACCCCGAGGGCCAAGGGCTGGGCTCCTCTGCCCCCTGAGAAGCCTCTGGCGGTCTCCAGAGGAAAGCTGCTGCCCATGCCTGGTCCTGCCTTGCGGCTGGAGTTGTGAAATTCCTTGTTGAAACTCCGCAGTCACAGCCAGGGGGTGGCCCCGTTTGTTTTCAAAATATTCCCTCAGATAGCACTGCTCTGGCTCAGAGGGCGCCTTAGCACTCTCCAGAACCCTGCAGATGGTGAGGCAGCTGGAGGGGAGGGAGGAGAGGGACGCAGGGAGACAGCAGTGGAGGCCCGGGCCAGCTCTCAGGTAGCGTGAGGTTGGCACAGGGGGCACAGTGTGTGACATGTGTGAAGGTGAGCATGCACACACAGGACGGAAAGCCCAACCAGTGAACATGGACAGCAAACGTCTCAGCTGTGGAACCTTCTTATGAACCAGAGCTTTCCTCATCAGTCCAACAGACAGAACAGAAAAGGGACAGGGACCTGCCACCCCTTCATCAGGCCCCTAAGGGTTCCCCTGCACTGAACCCTGGGGTTCCACGGAACCTAGTTGAAAACGCTCACAGCTGAGGCTGTTACTCTCACTCCCGGGAGAATTAGCACACATCGTGTCTAAAAATATGAACTTCCTGTGGGAAGATGAGATTATCTTTCCAGTAAATTCTAATTAGAGTCTAGCATAGGGAATGCCACGCATCTTAGAGAACGGGGGCTCAAAGCATGTGAAGTATTGATCTCATTCACTGACAGGTTTGTGGGTACCCCTACAACGCCCTGTGTGCTTGCACTCAAGACTGATTAGCAACACTAACACACACCGAGCTCTCACTGTGTGCACTTTTAGACTCTTTATGTCTATTAACTCACAACCACATGCTACAGTTGGTTACGGTTACCATTCTCCTCTTACAAACTGGGAAACTGAGGCTCAGAGAGGTTAAGTACTTGTCCAAGGCCACACGGCACTTTTGTCCATGATGATACATGCACTGTTGTGTGAGTGCGTGGTTATGCCCTTCTCCTACCAAGAGTACAGGACATAGCTCACCCCATAACCCCGGCAGACTGGCAGCAACAGGACAGTGACAAGACCCTGGGCCTCAGGCAGTGCCCTCCCAGATCCCAGAGGTTTCCGTGTTTGCAGACCCACCTTGTCAAAGTCACATACAATGGGAGACCCCTGGTCTCTCCCTGGCTTCCAACCCACTGAGGAACTGCCCCAGCCAGAGCTCCTGTCTCCCCTTCTCACTGTGTGCTAAGTTTAGAGTCAGTCACCAATTAAACTGCCATCACTAAGTGATGAAGAACCTGCTTCCTATCTCAAAGACACAAAAATGTACAACAATGCTTGAGCCCCAGGAATCCATCAGTGCCACAGTCACCACCTCTCCCTGAGCTGACGTGACTACAGTCAAAATCAACCTTAAGTAAAAACTAAAAAGGGATAGGGATGTATCTCAGTGGTAAAGCAGGCCCAGGTTCAATTCCCATTACTGGAAAAAAAAAGAAAGAAAAAAACTTGACATTCTGTTGGCCTACAGAGGAAACCAATACTTTTTATTTTTGGTAGCAGAGATCAAACCCAGGGGCACTGAGTCACATCCCCCGCCCTTTTTACTTTTTTATTTTGAGACAGGGTCTTGCTAAATTGCTGAGACTCGCCTCAAACTTGCAATCCTTCTGCCTCGGCCTCTGAGCCGCTGGGATCAGAGGCCTGTGTGGCGGTTACATGGCTTTTGAGGGTTTCTTGACAGATTAGATGTAACCCAGACAATCACTCAGATAAATCCACCCTAAAGCAACATTTAAGATACAAAGCTTCCTCAGATGTCACAGAACTGGAGAAAAGCCCCAAGTTCAAAGTCAAACCCACCAACCAACCTGCTTTCCCCCGGCCAGGGGCGGGGACTGGGACTTACCCAGAAGGAGCAGGGCTGGGCCCCGGGGAGGTCTTTTCTCCCACATGTTCTTCCTTTCTGCAGCCACCAGCACAAGGACTGGCCGCAGAGGGTGTGCGTCCTGACTTTTGAGGTTCCCAAAGTCTAGGGGGAGGGACTTCCCAGGGAGAGGGCAGGTGTAACCACAAATAAGAACCTCCCAGGCTGGGAGGGGTGGTGTTTACCGTGGCGCCTGCAGAGGCTGCTCGGGAAAGTGGGGTGTTGACCTTCCCCTCTTCCTCCAGGTCCTTTGTAAAGAGAGCTCCAGGCCCAGTAAATTTCCAGGGCCCAGAGAAAATCCACAGTCCCTCAACACAGAGATATCTTTGTGAGGCGGGGTGGGCATGGCGGAGGAGGCCTTGGGTGCCAAAGACACGAAGCTCCCAAGGCTGCCCCCTCCCTCCACCCTGGCAGGGGACCAGGAGCCACCAGCTAGGTTTGGGGCCCATGGAGACTGAAGGCTGAACCAATTGTCTGGGCCTGCTAGGGGCTTCCCACTCCCAACTGTGGAATCTGCACGCACATCGCAGAGTGAGCAAGCACGCACGTCCTATGGTCTTTGGGCCTCCAAGAAGAAAATGTGACAAATTCCATTTCTATTTAAGGAAAGAAGAAGAGCGCTGATTCTCCTGCTGTGTTACATCACCAAAGTCAGAGTCAGTCTCTGAGCATCCTTCTCAGCTAAGATGCCTTGGCGCCCCTGCAGTACCACTGCTCATCAGAGACACTCCCAGCCCCTCCCAGGGCTTTACCCACCACCTGACAAGGTTTTAAGTCCCTCCCAGGGGAGGACAAAGATGATAGCAGTTGCTCCTCAGCTGGGGCGGCTTCTCCCTGTACCCTGTGTCCCAGATTCCATTCTGGACAGTGTGTCCACTCTGCCCTGGAGTAGGAGCGGGCTCCAGGATCTCTGCAGCCTCACACTCTTGGAACCAGCCCAGGGTGAAGTGGGCGGAGGCCAGCTGGGCTGGGCTAACCCAATGCCCCTCACTTCCTTTTAAGAGTGTCAGTTTTTTCTTACTATGGACACGTGTATCAGAAGCTCTGGGGTGGATGAGCTGGGCCGGGCAGGGGGGGGGTACCCTTCTCAGTCCTAGGGGGCAGTCCAGGGGTGCAGAGCACCAGCCAGATGGAGAAACACAGCTGGGGGCCCTGAAGCATGGCGGCAGCTGCTACCCTCCTGACCCTGGGTGACCATCACACCTCTCAGAGCCTCATTTCTTCATGTGTACAGTGAGACCAACAGATAACCACTGTCCCTCTGAAGGGTGACTATGTGACAGCACAGCCAAGAACCAGGAACCATGTGACTATCATGTCCCCAGTCTGCCCACCCCTCTCTTCAGATGACCACACATTGCAGAGGAGTCTAGCTCTTCAGAGCCCACGGCAGGAATGGACGGACAGCTGCGACATGGTCCCAACTAAGTGACAACAGGAATTGGCAGGCGAGGGCTGATTTCCCCAGGTAACAGGTGAAGCTGGTGAGGGCCAAAGGGGGGAGGAAGGTGGGAATCTATCTGAGGATGGATTGCTGGCATTCCTCCCTACCGGAGGTAAGGTCACGAGGGACAGCTGTGTCAACATTTCTCAGATTAACAGTGGACAATTTCTCATTGGAATTGCTATACCATCTTCCACATTCACCATCCCCCAAACCTCCACTGTTTCCTGACTTCAGATCCACATAGAAGGCTCTAGAAGCCTGGTACCACCCAGCCTTTTCTTTTCTTTCTTTCTTTCTTTTTTGGGCAGTACTGAGGATTGAACCCAGGGATGCTTTATCACTGAGCTACATCCCCAAGCCTTTTAATTTTAGCTTTTTTTTTTTTTTTTTTTTAACTTGGAGGCAGAGTCTTACTAAGTTTCCCAGGCTGGCCTCAAACTTATGATCCTCCTGCTTCAGCCTCCTGAGTAGCTGGGATTACAGGTGTGCGCCACCTTGCCCAGCTACCACCCAGCCTCGGATTCCCACAGCTATGGTATAACCCAGGCTCAGCAGTGAGGGGGAAAAAGGGACACCGTCAAGAGGCTCCTTGTTAGCTTACTACCATGTTAGTAAGCAGCATCAGAGTGTTTCCTGGTTGCTATGGAGAATTCCATGATGGAGACAGCACAGTCAGGAGTCAGACTCTCCAGGTTCAACTCCTGGCCTTGTCTCTCATTGGCTACGTGACTTTTATAAAAAGTGACTTAACTTTTCTGACCCTCAGTTTCCTAATCTGTAAAAAGGAGATGAAATACTAACCTCGCTGGGATGTAATTGCTTCATGAGATCCTCCTGTTTCCCAGAAGGCACGATGAAGATGGAAAGGTGCGGAAATGACTGGATGTGTGTATCATGTTGCTTGAATCTGGGGGTGGCCAAGGCCAGAGGCCAGAGCACTCCCCCTCTCACCTGGGGCCACAGTCCTCAGTGCTGCCTACATGCTTTGCTAATTTCAGTATTTAGAAGTTGAAATGCACACTGCACCTAGTCAGAGCTCCTCATGAGGGGGCGGGGAGTGAGACGTTTTCCATGACATGCCTAGGCCGCCCCCACGTTTTTGTGCACTCTCAGTCCCAGTTCCAGGAACAGGGGATGCTTCTGCTCCTCTGGGAAACTCATGCCAACTGGCAGAGAAGAATCCACACCAATACTTAGTACGGGGACTGTGACGGCCCCTCCACCTGCTGCCTCCATCCAGCCAAGCCCTGGCTGGAAGACACAGCTCAGAGACCCTTCATGAGAATTCTCTCCATCCAGGCTAGCAGGAGCCAGAAAGAAGAGCAGGTGCTCCCCAATCCCACATGTCCCATGGTCTCTCCACCCTGGCACATGTCCACTAGCCTGGCCCATCTCTTTCTCCCATTAACCCATCCCTCTCCCCTAAAGCCAGGGTGTGGGAGGGTTGATGGCATCTACTCTTACTCTCTGCTGCACACGGAAAGTTTTCCCCTAAGACCCCAATGAGTCTGCCAATCAGCATGCCATCTCCTCCTCCATCCCCAGCTTAGCAGGACGAAGAAATGGAACTTTTCCTGCTGCCCTGGGAAAGGGAGATGATAAAGTTCCATGCTAGCTCACAGGCACAGTGGAACATGCTGCTGATCTGCTTCCCCCAAAGATGAGGCAGGGTTCTCTCCAGCCACCCAGGACCCGACCTTTTCAGGAAGACCATTTCTACCCTGGCTGAAGTCCAGTGGGCTCAGCTCAGAGCCAGAGCAAAAGACATAAATTGTTGGTGTTACCCATCAAGCAACTACTTACTGAGTACCCACTGTGCCCAGAACTGCACCAGGTCCAGAAACATGCTCGGGCCTCAGAGTGCCCTGCATCAGAAACCAAACACAACTTCAGACCAAGGAAAATAAGTGTCTTTCTAACACCCTAGAGTCTCCCTCCTCCCCATGCATATAGCTCGACTCTCCTCACCCTGTCCCCCTGGAAGTCCCTCTGAGGAAGTACATCCGCTAGGGGGAAGGGTCTCTGCTTCCTTCCAAGGCCCTGTCACCATCAACCCTCAGCTGTCCAGCGCAGCGCCGGCCTGCAGGCTTTCCCACCCTGCTCACAGACCCCAGCACACCCATGTGAGTTTAGGCTCAGTCCCTCCTGCCTCCCGGCCTCGCCTCCGGAAGGGCTGCGCACACCTAGACACATCACCCAGACGCTGAGTTTCCGCACCAAACCTGCCCCTACCAAATCCTCTCCTGTCGAACCCGCAAAAACATCTGCACTGACTGCTTTCTCCTCCCCACTCCTCGGCCTCGGGATCTCAGTCACGACTTACTAAAGTCCAGGCAGTCCGATCCCTGCCCCTGGCACTTTGGGGGCTCCCTCTCGCTGAGGGACTGCGAGGGCAGTAGACAAAGACCGTGGATCGAACTGGAAGAGATGGAGACGAGCCTGGGTTCAAAGCCCAACTCGCGGCGCTCCCGGAGTGTGCCCTTGGGCTGGCTGCACGCGCCTGGTCGGGGCGGCGTGCGCTTACACGCGTACGCGCCGTGCGTGGAGCTCGGGCGGCCAGGAGGCGCGGGTACCTGGCAGATGCAAATCTGGGCGCCCCGAGTCGAGGCGCCTGCATGGGGTTTCTCTCGAGCCGGGAGCCCCTCTCCCACCCTCCGCCTGCGCCTTCTTGCAAAGTTTGGCGCGGGCGCCGGGACCCGAAGGCACGGCTGGGCGGCCTCGGCCGAGCCAGGGAAGCGGTTCCAGGACTCCGGGGCCCCACTTACCCCTGCGCCGAGCCTCGTCCGCGGAAGGCGGATCCGACTCTCCCCGATCGGCGTCCAGCGCGGGCAGCATCCGCTCGCAACTTCGCCCTCCTCTCTGGAGCCCGGGGCTGCAGCGGCTCCGCGGCGGGGCTCAGCGCCCTCCTTCGGCGGCGAGGAGGGAGGGAGGAGGAGGCGCGGCCCGGCCGCTCCGCTCGCCCGGCAGGAAGCGGCGCCAGGCGGGCGCCGTCTTGTGCCGCAAGCCGGCGAGCGAGCGGTCCTGCCCGGTGCCCTACCCGCTCGGCCCGAGTGGGCGAGCGGCCCGCGCCGGTGGCGGATTCCGGAACCGTGTCCTAGGAGCCGGGGCAGCCTCCTCCTCCCTCTCGGCTCCCTCCTCTGCCCTCCCCCTCCTCCCCTCCCTGCTCCGTTCTCACCCCACCCAGCTCCCACCCCGGCGCGCCCGGCAACTTGGGAACTGTTGGCGAAGTTGGCGATGCTGGGGCTGCGCGCCCGCTGGGCCTCTGGGGCGGGAGGAAGGGGAGCAGGGGGAGGAGCTGAGGGGAGGGGACCCGCCTCCGGGGGGGCGCGCTCTCCAGGACCCTTCGGTGGGCCTTTGTTCCGGGCGCTGCACCTCCAACCGCGCGTCCCCGGGGACTTGCTGGGGACCGCTTGGATTCCCACCCCTCTGGGAGAGGCTGCTTGTCCTGGGCTGAGGAGATGAAGAGAGAGCCTGCGTGGAGATCCTGGTGGCTTCACCCCCACCCCCGCGTTCCGTTACCCTCGCGCTCCCGGGAGACCCTCTCTCCTGCGCGCATTCTCGGCCAGCTCCTCCCAGGGGAGGGTCTTCCCGTCCCCCTGGGGCAGCGGGAGCTGAACTATGGTTTCCAAAGACCACAGCACCCACATCCTAGTCGGCAACGGGTCACCCACCCTCCCTTCTGTGCTTTCTTGCGCAAGCAGCGTGTCCAGGACTCCCCCAATTCGGCATGATCCTGGAAGGGTCCTCGCCCGCTGACGCAGCCAGAGATGCTTGGCATTATCTTCGGACCCTTCCTGACAGTTGGCGCCTCTGATTTGGGGACTGCAAGGGGAGTAGGGACGGGCAGTGGCCAGCTAGGCAGTGCGTGGTTTGGAGCAGAAAGGTCAGTTTCTCTAGGAGCTCAGTATTAGAACACAAGCCCCGAACTTCCCGGTCCCTCTCTGGAATCCTCGGGAATGCCTTGTCAGGAGGAAGTCTTTGATTCGGTCTTGCCCCGGGTTTTTCTCCTGGGACTTCCTAGTAGTACTTAGCATCATGAGCTAATTAAGGCCTAAGACAGCTGTCCTGACGTTTAGTGGGGAGTGTATGCGGTTTAAACACAGCGAATTATTTCCTGTAAAGGAGAAGTAAGAAAAGTCTGAAAAGGGAAAACCTAGACATTGGTACTTGGCTTTCCTCTTCTTCTCAACAAATGCAGAAAGGAGATAGCAGACATGTCTTAGGCAGCAGATACTAAACCAGTTAGAACTGAGCAGTGCCCAGGCTTACCCAGGACCCCTTCTCTCAGATTCAACAGTTAGAGGGTCCCCATTATTACCTGGGTGCAGACCAGCTAAGGCTTCTGCCAAGGCAGACTGGAGGGGCCTGGGCAGAATGCTCCAGATTAGGAAGTGAGACACTGGATGCTCTTTAGTAGAAAGTCCTCATTGGGTGCTTTGGCCCCACTCCTTACAACTGTGTGTCCTGTTAAAAGAGACCTGAGGTTTGGTGAGGATTCAGACCCCAGCTCACTTTTTGGGGAACCTTTCTGAATCCCTTTCTCTGCGTTTTCTGCAGCCCTCCCCAGTCTTCCCTGTAGGGAAGACTGCCTGGGAATCAGTCCGCATGCTCTCCAACAAGTTTAGAGCTGACCGCGGAAAATAACAACTCTGCTTCAAGGAAATAAGAACTGATTCTGAGCCAAACATGAGTGACCATGCCCTGGGAACTCAAACTCAAGTTACCTGGAAAAGACATGTTTTGTTGTTGTTTTTGTGAAGAAGGTTACTTAAGCTTGTATAGTCTCCAAAGTAGGTGGGGGTCTTCAAATAGTCTACAATAAGGGGTAATCCATAATTCTCAGATGTTGTTTTCAATAAGGCTGGGAAGTCTTAAGGTTGGGAGAGGACAGAAGTCTGTCAAGCAGAGTATCCATTTATCTAGTGCTCATTCAGGCACAGAGGTAGACAAAATGGTTGTGAAAAGGAGCCAAAGATAATCCAGTACATAATAATAATCCAGACCTTTCCACAAGGTCTCTGATGCTCAAATCCATCTCGTTCAAACAGCCTGGAAACTCCCAAATACAAACTCAGCCTCTATGAGGAAATTCAGGTTTCAGATCCCCCTGTTAACTAGGCCGTACATTCTGCGCACACTGAGGCCAGTGGTTGTTTTAGGATCCATGAAGTTAGAGGTCTCATTCCCAAGATCTCTTAAGGACAAACCTGAATAACCAGACAAACTTCAGGACAGACATAGTCATTAAAGCTATAGAGAAAGAAATCCCCCGCTCGAGTTGATGTTGTCAGGTGTCATGATCTGGTCTGGGTTTTCCTCTTTTTCCAACCTTTGCATC